GGGTGGTTGCAGTACAATCATACCCGAAGTTGCATGAGAAAAACTTTCGTTATTGTTTAAATTATTATTTTATTTATTTATTTATTCGTTACTCTATTGCGGGCTTAAATCACATCAGGTGGTGTTGTGACAGAATTACCCTGTCATTCCCCGACTCAAAGGGGACTGTGCTCTATAGTTTTATCTAGGGACAAAAGGGGGGAAATCCGGGTTTTCCAGGTTGCTCAAACGGTTTGATGGTCATTGTTCGCAAGTTCACGTGTAATCTACCAGTTTCCAAGTCAGGTTGATGCCTGCTCTCTACGAGCGAACTGTGTCGTCGGTCGTTCCAAACAATGGAGAATAGTCATTGAGAAGGAGGGAAGACTTGTGGACCATTATGACCCTACCCTCAAATCTGTGGATCTGATCGTGTTAGCTTGATTTGATTCTCTCTCACCTCACTTTTGAATGTTCAACAAATAAAAGTTAAGTGCAACTTTGAGCGTCGATGTGACAGGTAGGGGCCAAACCCCAACTCCCTGCTGGTCGTTGAGGACCTCTGAAGCGGGGGCAGCGAGTGACAGGCGTTGTTGCCCCTGGCTTCAGCGAACGGTAGATACCCCTCCTCGGGTTTCCTCACACCGGGTCCAGCGTCCCAAATACAGAAAAAGGGCATGTCTGTAAGGTCTGCCAGCATTGATTACCTTGCAACTTAGGGGATTGACTGGGCAGGCCAAAAAAATATCCTCTTTACCCTCAGGAGGAGGGCGCCAGAAAAAACAGTAAGAGATGGAACTATTTTAGCCTTGATTCTACTCACTCCGAAAAATGCCGAAAGACGCAGACTGCTTAGGACACCAGGATACTCAGACTGCCAGCCTTGCTCACTTCAGAAAAGACAGACGGCCGACTATGACTCTCTCTTCAAAAAACAGGCCTTGCTCACTCAGAAAAAACAGACTTGCCGACTATGACTTTCTCAACAAAAGAAACATTACCGGAAGGAAACATGACAATGTTAGCGGAAACAAACTCCCCGGGGGGCTCCAGGGAGGAGTTCCGTATGTGGAATTTTTCTTGATCAGGAAGGGATCTTTGTCAGGGAAAGGGCATGGGGTGGGAAGGGGTCAGGAAAATCTGAGGGAGACCGAAGTGGGAATGAGGGTTCTATGTGTGTTTAGTCTTTGAAAATTAGACGATAGTCTCTCATTTCATCCAAATCCTGTTGTCCCTCTCCCCTATCTCCACTCCATTCCACTTTTGTGATCCATCCTTCTCTCTCCCCACCTAGACCCAGTCTGTACAAAAGGCTGTAATCCGTCTCCTAACATTGCCTCTTTGTTTAAAGAGATCTAACTGTGCTTTTGTGTCCGCACCTGCTGCTGTATCTGTTCGGTAATCTCTGGCCCTTCGACTCTCACCTTCTCCATGGCCAGAGTGCATCTCTGCCACCAAAGTGCCCATATCACCGCCCTCCTTCCAATTCTGAACATATTTTCTACAAAGGTCGTGGTCGTCCCGCTAGTGGCCAGTGGCCGGCCAATATGGCTTGCCTAGATCAGGGCCAGGGGATTGCAGGTTCCATTTTTCTCCATATACGGCCCCACCATTTCCATATAAATTGGGCAATCGAACATTGCATGAATATGTGTTCAATGGTTTTCGACTTCTTAGAGAATGGGAAAAGGCTCTGGCACCTCTGACACCACGGAAGTAACAGACCTTTTTGTTCTAAATTAGTACGGTCAGTCAACCAATCATTGGTTAGCAGACAATGATGGGCAATCTGCCACTTCAGGGAGGTGATTTTCATGGGTTTAGATTTTTGTTATTGGAACCATTTGATCGGTGACAGGAGGGAGCGGTCCACATTTAGGTGTCCGGCCCACCAGTCGTTGACTGTTTCTCTCAGCCTCCTCTTAGGTCTGAGCATCTTGTAGGTTGATTTGACCGTCGGCTGGTGTAGGCTTATCTGGCCCCCCCTCTTCTGGGGAAGTTTCCATATCCATTCTGCTGGGTCCAGTGTCAGATCCTGGATTCGTTTAGTCGGCTGGAATACCACCTTTTGTCCATTCTCTTTTAAAACTCTCACCCAGTTCACTAATGTTTTCTCTTTCCATTCAAAATGTGGCTCTATTTCCATGGAGAGCGTCGGATCTTGTGATGGAGTAATATTCGACCAGGACAGTTTGAGGTGATACCATATGTATCTGGCCTATCCTTGGAGGGGATCCCATATCAGCGACCCAATCGCCCTCCTTTAAGGTGGGGCCCTGTTTAAGGACTCGGTACCATGCCAACGGAATAGCTTCAATCAGGTTATCCAGAGACTCCTCCATATGGTCACAGTGCCGTAGTATATTGCGCATGTGGTCTCCTGATTTCCAGTCCCTTCTGTCATTGTCCCAAAGATCCCCAACCCTCAGCACCCCTCGCTTGACCTAGCTTTTCCAGGGCGAAGAATAACTCGACATGACACATCCACTCATATCGGTCACTGCAGCGGACCTCTGGTTGGCCTGTGAGACCAACCCCTTGGCCTGTTCTCACAGGCCTGTGTTGTATTCAGGGTAGTCAATTCCAGGCCGGTACCTCCGTCGGTACCAGCCAGTCCAGTCCAGTCCAGTCAGTCCGCTGGGGTATACCCCAGCTGTTGTCTGTTTTTGAGATCATTCTACATTGACACATTTTGGAGTACGTGCGTTGGAGTCCTGTGTGGGAGCTGGGTTGTGCCATCTCGCTCCCCCCTTCATCCTCTATCTCCATCTCTATCTCAGGCGGAGCACCACACTTGGTGGGTTCACCACACTGGTATCGGAGTGGGAACGTTACCTGCTCCCACCCACCACATCACATAGCAGGGAAAACTGTCAAAACCCGATACTGGTTTTTTTGGTTGTTTTTCTGGCCTTTGCAGCGAAAAACAGCGGAAAAAACATGGCACAACGTGTAGCAGCGAGGGAGCGACACGTGCCAAAAAAAAGGACATGTCGTGACGATGTGTGCGCGCAAGCGCCAAGGCCAACGTCGTCGCACACGCACACGCACGCGCCACGTGCCCACGCTGCCCTGCCCCGCCCTGCTCCCGGATTATTTATTATCAAGATTCGGGATACTGCTGCTGCGAGGGTTTGAACCTAGGCAGCTGCTGGTCATGCGCGTGCGTAGCCACCTCTATAACACACTGACCACAGTGTGTGCATGGCTTTGTAAGGCGACACTCTTGTGTTGAACGTGTCGTGCCAGCTATTTACCCCCCCCGCCCTTCCCCCCCCCGCGGTGGGCAAACACCGTGGCTGTTGTTGTCTATGCCCGTGGGCATCTGCAGTGTCACGTGACAGTCTGCTGTGGACCATGAAGACCCCCTGATCAGGGGCTGCTCTACAGTGGTGAGGGTCTGCTCACACAGCACACCTTGGATCTGTAGTGCTGCTGCTAGGGGCTGATCAAGATCTCAGCCCCCTCCCTCCTCCAGTTTGCTTGTTGCAGTGAAGGCCAAGACCCTCCTAGTCTTGGTATACCTTGTGCCCTTGGAAACACCAAGGGCCAGGTATCACCTCTTTCTTCCTTCTCCCTTCTAACCCACTTTCTCTACCTTTTCTCTCTCCTTTTACTCACCCCCTCTACTTCTTCCTCTTCTACCTCACTCACTTCCTTCTAATCACTCTCACTACTCATACCCCTCTCCCCATCCCACCTTTTCTCCCACCACCCACTATTTTACTCTATTTTATTCATTTATTTCCTTTTCTTTCTCCTCTTTTCTCTTTGCTTCTTGATCCCTTTCCACCTTTCTTATCCCTTTCTCTCCCATTCTCTCACCCTCCTCTCCCCCAACTATAACCCCATCACTTCTCCCATCTCCCCCTTCACTCTTTTTCTCTCTCTCACCTATTTCTCTCTTTTCTCCTTCACTTTTTCATCTCCCCCCCTCCTCCAACTTCAAAATTTTTCTGTTTTTTTTTCTTTTTTTTTTTCTTTTGATTTATATTTCCTCCTTTTTTCCTAAGTTGTTTGCCATTTCCGGCCAGATTAATTTACCGGAATATCCGGCCATTTCATCCGACATACTGTTCATCCGGAATTTCCGGATAAACCGAAAAATGTCCGATTTTTTTTTTTTTTTTTTTTTTTTTTTTTTTTTTCTGCGCTTAAAAAGGACTGCCGCAGGTTCTAATATT